TGGGTGCTAATTACACGGTGGGAGATATCTTTTGATAAAACAAACGGCGTTATACAAAAGGTTATCTTCATTTTGTGAACACCTCTTGATCTACAGCAGGATTTAACCACAGAACACTTTGCACTCGTTATACCGCCGAAATTAAAATGTAGGTTCAACCCTTAGGTTATTCCGGAACCGCACACTGAGGCAGACGGCAAAATAAATCAACATTTTTTAGTTTCCTGTTTACAACTGCGCAATGAAGAGAGGCCGCGCGAGGGACACAGCACGACATTTTAAATGAAAACCTGAACGGAACATCGTGGCTACTAAAAGACAATCCTTTGTGTGGTCTAAACACAACCAAATCGGTACAAACGTAAAACACTCGCTCTGATTTGTACTCTGGTTTAAAAATGTTTCAATGGACATTTTGCGTATTTTAGACTTCATTGTAATTAAATCCACGTGACCCTCAGTAGATACGATCTACCAAGAAATCAGCTGAAATGTCTTCAAGTATTAAACTTCAAATGAAAATCACACGAAAAAACTTTAAGAGAAAATGAAAACCACACGTATAAATTTTCGGACGCACTAAACAGACGGCGTCACTCACGATAGAATAAGTCAAACAAGTTGTCTTTTTCCTCGTTGTCATCGATATGACATCGTGTTGCGCAAATTCTAAACAGCGCTTCTACTAGTTTACCTCTAGTAAATCGCCAGTAATATAACCTTCGACAATTTTTAAAAAGGCCTTTCTTTCTTGTTTTCTTTTTCCACAGAGCGGTTTGTACTTACGAAATACGATCGCTAAGACAGATTTATTTATTCTATGATTTGTTGAAAAATAGAAACTTGGGTAAACTGGAACGATTTAGACATGGCGGTTTGAACTCTTTCAACGGTCATTTAATGCCATACTTCTTTAATGTCCAATTATTATAAAACCTGGATTCTTGTGTGCTAATAATATCGCGAGGAATGACAGAATGTCTTCCCAGTTCTTTTGAAGAGTAGAAGATGTATATTTTGACCTTTTTATTGTTCTTATTTTGAACCCCAATGCCCGTTATACAGTGTCAAATAAGCCAGAATCTCAAAGTTGCTTGACTATATTAAACGGGATTAGGCGGCGCGTCCAGTCGATAGCTTCATATAACAATGTCTTTGATTTCTTAACCAACGTATCACGAAGAAAGCTTTTGATAATTAACAAACGCTATTGAAGTTAAGGTAAACAGCAAATACAGATTAAGATCGAATCTGCGGCTTTTCCTTTTGCCACAATCTTTGCAGGAGAACAACTGATTTTTACTGAAATTAACAAAATATAGAAACAAAAACCATCATTGCTCTTGGTACTACTCGTTTAAAAGTAAAGAATTCTGGCCGTCGACGCAACGTCAACCGTAAACACGTCAACTTTAAAATAAAGAAAAGCGCTTAGTGCCGAAGATTCGGAATTTTAGTAGCTAAACTATATTCTTATTCTACATCTAAACGGCAAGGAGAGGAAAATTCAGCTGCCCAATGCGATGAATGTACGTTGAAATTTCTGATCCAGATCAAAACGGGATCTCGACATGCACGCAGTTCTCCACAGCTTAGCTTCAGAACTTTGCTTGCACGTGATATCCAATTTAACAGACTCAGAAATGCACAAAAGCGTTCAAAGGATGCTAGAAATGGCAGAAAGCAAGAGATTACCTTTGACTGTCTTTCTTCCGAAGGAGCTCACTTCTGCTGCTCTCAACGCTAGCAATCCAAAGAAAAATACGAGAAAGTGGCTTGGTAGGGTCATCGCTGATTCCACAAAGCTAATCGTGCTTGCTCTGAGTGGAGTTTGACTTTTTCTCAACGCAAAACAAGATAATTTGTCTTGAGATATTTTCAAATGACGTCAGCTCAGCAGTCTTTTGCTGTGAAGGCGTTAGAGTGAAGCCCTGCAAGAAAAAAGAGAAATGCAAGCGGCATGAAGCAACGTAATCTTCATCAAGATTGTAACAAGAAACCCATTTTCTACAGGTATCTGTGGACGTGCTCGCATATGATATCAACACCTGGTGGGAGGTCCTTGCTCCAGAGGCGCGAGCTGCCGCGTGCTATCTGGCTAATAATGTTTATATTGCATAGCTCAAACTTGTAACTTTAATAAGTAACTTCTCCGTCGGCGTAGAAATGGAAACTTATGTGGCGCACATGTCATCCAAGATATTGGTTCGGTATTGAGTTGCGCTTTGCTATTCTTGGATGGCCTCATTGAGCTAGAGCACTTGAAACGGAAGCTGTGGTTACCATGAATCAACATACACGGCTTTTATTCAATTTACTGAAAGAAAACGGAAATCCAGTGTCACGAAACTTTCCTGATATCTCGTCCACCCTCAGTTTACACCAAAGAGTTTTATAGTTTGAGAGAGAAAGAAAGTCTCGCGTTCCCGACACAATTCTGCGACTAAATGGGGGCAGACAGATCTACAGCGTAATCTGTCTTTGGTAGAGCTTAAAACTGATGTAAGGGTAGAACCCTTCCTTTTGCAAAGTTCCCGTGAGAACATACGTAAGAAAACCAGATGATGCGGTTTCTTTAGCTTGAACTATTTTTTTATTCATACTATTGTATAACAGACTGCTGCTAGTTGTTTTCGAATATCACACGTGTACGATAAGTTCTAAAATGGATTACCTTTCCGGACTTTTCCTGACTACCGAGAGACTGGGTAAGCGGGAAACTCGGAAACTCTTGAGCTCTGTGGGGGGGTGGGGTGTCAACCGCTTATGACCATTCAGACATTTGAGTGGACTTTTAGCTTGGGAATTCACTTTGCGTGATCCTGAATTCACGTGTTCCTCAAACATACATTTGAGAGCGGATGGCAAGCCATGGTAATGGTACTACTGACTCATAAACGTAAGGGGCGCGTCCACAATGAGTCTTAAGCTCTGACGCCAAGGATGTAGGAAAATGAAAAGGCCTATCCTCTTCCCTATTTAAAACACAAGCTCTATTAAGGCGTGTAATTATCTTAAGTACATCCTTTTCCGGATTGCCGAAGATGATCAGTATTGTTCTGAACATTTTAACCGCTTAGACAAAATAAAAATACGATAAATGCTGAAAGAAGCTTTGGAAGGGCGACTGTTAAAGTTAAGACTCTGAATTTGGTGATTTTTTTTAAACATTCGAGGCATTGCTATAGCTACGATCAATTTTATTATGTATTTGCAAATAGACCACCCCGACTTTTCCGCCCTTCATCATACATCTTTCTTTTCTTCTTCTTCTTGAGAAATCGAGCCGACGCCAACCAGGAAAATCTTTGGTGGCACGCGGTACGGAAGTTTTGGATTGGCGACTTGCATTTTATTATTATTATTTTTTTTTTTACAAATTCCTTATGCTATTGTTTAATCCCCATCTTCTCCGGTTGGCGGCCACGTCTTCAACTGTCACCGGAGTTATCCTTTTTCCTTCCTTCAACTCTAACTGATATAATTTAAATTGCATGCAAGACTGCGTTTTAGCAAGCATCGCTTTGACAACATAATGTGTGACGTTCTCAATGTCGATGTTTCATCTAAGCGTTCAATCTTTTTCTTATCTTTGCCGTGTGAAGGAGTGATGAAAGCTTATTTCAAATTGGTCGTATTGGGTATAAACTAGTGGATGATAAGAGGTAAGTAAATTTCTAGTTAAAAGAATGTTTGAGACTTGACGTAGTATTACTTCATCCTGTGATCAAAATAACGGGAAATGAGTGTTGCTGATAAAACAATAATCAGGTGCTTTCCTAACATAGCGAGTGGTTTCAGCCTAGGAAACTGTTGTTGCGGAGCTTCTTATTTCGATATGTAATAAATACGCTGAGTTTTTTCTTTTTTTTTTTTTCTAAAAAGGGGGGAAATAGCACGAGAGGAAGAATTAGGAGATTAAAACCGCAATACCGTTGGATTGCGTAAGGCTGAGGAGCTTTATAACAAGTTTTGTCAGACAGCCAAAATTAAAGCACTAGTGTTTATTTAAATACTTTGATTGCTGCGTTTTGTTTTATTATTATTATTATTTTTTTTTTTGTAGCAATACAAAACTGATCCATTGTAGATATCAAACATAAAGGTCATTCAAATGTGATACTTTTCTTTCTTTCATACAACACCGGCAAAAACAAAAGATCGAGTTGCCATCATTTCAGTTTTACTAGAGTGTCTAAGTGGGGGGCATGATTTCAGTTGTCGGCTTCTAATTTGAGCCTTCTGACTTTTGTCGGCTACTGTCAGTTACATTTTTGGTTTATTTTTGGTGAAGTTAAGTCCGATAAATTTGTTGGCCTGCTATTTGGAATGTTTGTCAGTGACAGTTATAAATACAAATGGTTCGCAGTACCATATATCCGTCAAAACCTTCCTTACGGTCCTGGAGAGACCATACAGGTTCTTAGCACAATTGATTGTCATCTTTGGGGATATGGGTTTCCTCTTTAATGGGCTATGGTTAGAGGGTATGGATTTTGACATGTTTTAGTCTGCAATATCTACTGAAATTGTGTCAATAGTTAGACAGATTTTGATGACTTCCAGAAGTGATACTGCTGGACAAGGTAATATCAACTGCATTAAATAACAAATATGTTAAGTGTAATCTTACTTTCTTACCTGATCGTTAAAATAAATTGTGAGCAAAAGACAAGCAGTTGCTTTGCACTTTCACACACCTTTCGCAAACCTTCTTCTCTGATGGCTTCTGATGTTAGCACAGAATGCAGCAGTAGAGCACAAATAGACAGACAAGCGGATTTACTCTTACACCTACGTTTGAGCCATTCGGGGGGTCTATGACGTCACCTTCAG